GGGCAGTGGTGCTGAGCAGGTCGGGGGCAGGGGTCGGGATGTGAACGGCCTAGATGGAAACCAGACGAGTGCAACAGGAGACGAATGTGTTGCTGGGCCCCTGCTTTCCTGGCTGATGGGAAATCTGGAGCGTTTTTCTGCATTCTGCCTTGTCCTTCCAGGCTCCCTTCTTGCCTCCTTGGCTGGTCACTATTCCCAGTTAAGCAAATCTTATTTGGACCTCTTAACCGGCTGGGGAAGCCACTTGCTCTATGACCCCTTGCAGGGACGGTGGGTTAAAAGTTGTCATGACAAAGCTGAAGTGTCCTGGGAGGAGCTGAAGGAGCGCTTCAACTGCCTCTGTCGGGGATCTGCACCTCTCAGGGGACAGACCCAAGCTGCTCTGAAACTCCTGAAGGCACGGGATGGAAACTTCAAAGTCTGTGGTCTAAGTGTGTGGACTGACTTACTGATGGAAGTAGAGGAGTATCTGAGGAAAGCAGCAGAGCACTAATGCATAAATGAAAAAACAACATGAAAACTTCTGAAATCCAGCAAATCTGCTTAACTCTAATTGATATGAAAGGCAAGAAAACCATACCTCACTTTGGGTTGAAAACCAAGCATTTTTGTGACTGCTGATCACACTTGCTGACTGCGTGCGAAGCCTTTCAGGGAGGCCTGGTGCTTTCTTGTAATTGCGCTGTCAATTCTGGTCACCACAGGAAATGTCTTCCTTTTTAGTACTTGCTTCTCACCTAATAAAATGAGGAAAATGCTTTGGTTTCAAATATAGAATAGTGTTCTGTTTAGAAAATATTACAGTTTGGATATGGTCATGGTAGTTGTGTCTCCTACTGTTGGAGGGTGATGAAAAGCTCAAAGGGAAGGTGGGGTTTCAAATATGAAAACCTCAAATTCAGGGTTAATTTAGTAGTGGTTGTGTTCATTGGGCTGTCTGCTCTGGTGGCTGCTTTCATGCTTCTGTAGCTCTTGCACATGACTTAGCCCCTGGGTCTAAGTGAAGGTCAGAGAAAGCCAACTGGAAAGCCTATTGAAAAGTTCTAAAATTAGAAGGCTTTATTAGTTGCTATATTATATGATAATATGCAAGTATTTCCTAAGAAAACTGCAGTAAAATGTAGAGTGTTCTGTGTGGTTTTCTTCCCTCTTCCATAGTCTGTCACATGATTTTTATTTTTGTTTTGTGGAACAGAAAAGTGAGTGGACGAAAAACTTTTTTATTAGATAACGATCTAATAAAAGGTATCACAACTTTAACAAGAGGAGGAGAAGCTTCCTCCACTGGTGTGTTATTAAAGATCATCTTCCATTGTGAACCCGGATCCAGTGAATAAATGTGAAGCAGAGAAAAATCCGAGAAGATTGCTAACATAACCAGTATCCAGTTTCTCTCTCCTGTATCATTTCTTTTACATACCGTCAATTGTATTCATCACTCAAGCACATGTTTTCCTTCAGTTTCAATGACCATATACAGAATTTGATGGTAGCATTTTAATCATTTTATGTCTTTCTGCCACTGTGCAATGCAATAGAACTCAGGCCTTCATAGTGTAAGGAATGGATAATCTCCATCTGATGTTTGCTTGTTATCTTCTGCAGTTCTTGTCTAGTGACTAAGGAATGGATAATCTCCATCTGATGTTTCCTTGTTATCTTCTGCAGTTCTTTGCTTGTCTAGTGAGTATAGAAATTGGACTGGATTCAAAAGGGGTTAATCCTTTTGAGCCCACTGTGAATATTTTAGGTTTGAATTTTTTTTTTTAAAATTAATAACCTTTGTTTCTGCTTATAAGCTTGAAAAAGCAAACAAGATATTAAAAAGTATAAACTGGATTGAAAATAGAGTACTAGTCTGTATTACAACGTAAAATAGCATATACAACTATGGCAGATATTTCTGTGTGACAAAACTAGAGTGGGAAGGATCTTGTGATTTTGAAATGGAAACAATTAGTACAAGAGGATGAATATTGTTTATCTGAGAAAAGAAATGACACCTATTCTAACTTGTATGGAAATAATTAAAGACAGACATATGTTCTTATTCGTCCCCCTCTTCTAAAACAAAAGAGATACTCAAGAGTAGCACACTTTAAATAGCTAGAAGGACATGCTGCTAATCTCTTATCAAAAATCTGACTGTTTTCTTTGGATTCTTTGCTTCATCATGTCAGCGAGGCAATGAAGGTATGGACATCTGCAGATGAACATATTTTAATATGTGTGACAGTTGTCTTGCTATTTCTTAAAGGGGGTTTTCTCCCCTTCTGGAACTTGTGGTGGTCAGTCTTAAAAGACCGCACCATGTCAGTGGGCCTCAGGACTGAGTCAGTATTTCTGTGGTATCGAAATGAATATGAACACTGTCTATAAGCACTTAGAAGTATAAAGCATTAAGTTTGAACTTATGTTGTCTAGCCACAGTTCCCTGGATTATTTAGTTCTGGCATTTGGTATGGAAACTCTGCACTTGAGCTTGCTCTTAACACTTTTAACAGGCATAAGTGGTTTTTTTTTTTTTTTTGTCTGTTAGAATACTTCTTGCTATCAGAGGTTCCTGATGAATGATATACCCAAAGATAGTAGTCAAAGTCATTCCCTTCTCCCCGGCTCTATGTTAAGGGTGAATATCAAATGTTGCAGTAACGTTACAAATGTTACAGTAACAAACCAAACCTTATCAGTGGTCCTTCTTCTGCATGGAGATCCAATGGGAAAAGTTCGGTAGAAGCTGCTGGCATTCCCTCTCTTAGTGAGCGGTAATTGATCTCAACTATTTAAAAACTTACTGTTCCAAAGTACCTGAGTCTCTGACAAATTTCAGTGACAGTTAAGTCTTGCTTGTCAGAGTAGGTATGTTTCCTAACATACTCAGCATGTTGACCACGAATTAAATCTCTTAGCAGCTTTTAACTATTTCAAGGATAAATCTGATGCTTATAGGGGGTTTGTACTCCCAGTATTTCAAGTCTTACTTTTTGACAAACTTAAGTTTTCTCTTATAAAATTCAGTTCATGAAGACAGATGTCTTCTTTCCAAGTAGTGTATCATGACACCTTTTACTAGCTAAGTGCAACTACAGAATCTTCTGGATTAGCAAGGAAGTAATAGGCCCTTCAGTGTGACTTTATTAAGAAAGTAAAGAAATAATCAGGGAGGGGCAGGCAAGAGATGTCCTAGTGTAAACCATACACACTTGATTTCCAATTCTGTCCTCTTTGTAGGAAACCTGGATAGTAAAAAGTAGATTAGCTTGAGTGAGGCAGAAACGCCTGGTTATAGCAATTTCGCAAAAAAGTTCCAATCTGTCCCAAATACATTATAAAGAGGTGCCAGATCCATGATTACCGAATTCTAAAATCCATATGGCATTTATTGAAATAAATGCACTGGTCCACATCCCCTACTATTTCAGCATGCTCGTCGAGTTGGCCAGGTAGCTGTGCAAATGACACTTAATTAAAATTTTTTGGAACTCCATTTTTAATAAAAGTGTAAACAGGAAAGGAAGAAGTGTGATGTCTGTAACCTCCTCCCTCTATGTATTTGTGGCTCATATTTGCATGCTGAGGTTTGCAGCCCAAGTTTGCAAACTCCTGACCTAAACAATCTAAACTGTCATGGGAAGTAAGATACTAGAAATGACAGACTACAGCCTCTTCCCCTACCACCTTCTTCCCTTTTTTACTAATAAAGAGAAACAGATCTTTGCTATTTTGTCTATTAAAATGATGATTGAAGAAACTGTTATATTGCGGTTTCAGAAGACTGTTGAGGATTGTGAAGTGAATCAGGAGGATTTTACTTGCCCAGTAAATAGCTAAGAGGGATACATTTTGCTACCACCGATCTTTTTTAAAGTAGTAAAGGGAAAACATTTTACCTTTCGTCAAACACTACTGTAACTCTCCACAAGTGACATACTGGGAGATGTCTGGAAACTAAGTTGGTGTTTTTCTTACTTTTCTTGTGAAGCATCTGTTACCTTGTAATAACCCTACTAAGCAAAATGTAGATGAAAACAAATTGTATGTTCTTCTAGTAATTTGCAGTATGTATCTAGATATTAGAATAAGGATAAAAGGTGTAGAATAAATTGTTCATTTAGGAAAAAAATAGAAGAGATTGGTACCATTCAGATGAATATATGAGCCCGATTGTGACTGAAAGAACATGTATTAAATTCAGAATGTCCGGTTGAAATGTCAAGTCCAACAATACATTAAAATGAATTCTTGTATTGCATACAAGGTTTCTTTCCCCCATTCCCAACTAGGTGAATAAGGATCTGATGTTCTTCAGTGACAATGATGAGCATTTGTTTTTGATTTTGTTTTTTTTTTCTTGTGTGTAAGAGAATATTTTTTAGGTCACGAAGACAGACTAGTATTTTGATCATATGGCAGTAGTGTTTTCACATACTGTTTAACTAGAAAGCTAAGTTAAAGTTGTATGGCTACTTTTAGTTCTGCTGTTTCTGCAGAGTGAAAGATTTAAAGCTAAATTCTATTCCTCATGAACAGTTTGGATGCATGACCCGTTGCAGAGTGCCAGTGAAGGCCCCACACCATCATCATGCAGAATATAGCAAAGAGCAGTAGCATGGAAATCATCTGCTTGAGAAGCTTATTTAGTCTGATGGGCAGAGTTACAGAAAAATGCATGAAATGCAAGTGGAGATGGTGAGGAGAAAACGCAGAAAACTGCTGTCTTCTGAAGGCCCTGGAGAAAGCGTAGATTTCCCCTTCACCAGAACTGAGTGACTTTCCTGCTTCTGGGGACAACATTGGGTCTGTGCATGTTGTGATTAAAAAAAAAAAAAAAAATCAAAAGACTTTTGATTTTCAAGTTGTCTGCTCTGCTAAAGCACTCAGCCTCTGTGTTCCCTAATGGCCACTTGGATCAATGGTTTAACAGGCAAGAATATTAAGGTAGTGAATGAGAAATGTAGCTGTGTGTGCAGGGTAGGAAACTGTGCTTATTTGAACAGGGCTTCCTCTCACAGAGGTGAGAGCAAAAGAACAATATCCTATCTACCTCGGTATAAAATAGACTTGAATGATCACAAGTACGGTCAGGAAAAGTAGCTTTTTCTCCATTGATGTAAATCCTTCTCATAAGCTGTTTGCTTTCAATATTGTAACTGTCTCATGAGGGATTAAATGTTACTTGATCAAACACATCATTCTCTTAATCAGTTATGAACCTGTACTGAATTTCAGATTAAGAGATGATAGGCAACTTGGAAACAATTGCATGTTTGTTCTCCCTTACCTATATACTTTTTTAAACATCTACAGAAAAAAAGATGTCCATAGCAATGAGCCATGCCAGGGATAAACACATAGTTAAGATGCATGGTCTTTTATAATTTTTCAAATGTAGCCTCAAAAGATTTTAACCTGGTTAATGTAGCTACTACTTCAATATTGAGGTGATTCATGTACCAACATTACTTTAATTCCTTGTGTGCCAATACCTTAGAG